AGACGAATGTATAGACAGACAGCACCAAAATACGTCCCATCTTTGTACAGGCATATGAAAACAGAACCCAAGCCTTAATGTGCTATATAAATAAAGCTGACTTGACTTAATCCAGGTGGAAGTCACACCGTGAGATATGATGAATCTACAGAATGAATCTCATTTTTTGGGTACTTGTACTTTTATGAGTATTTCTTTCAAATGTGTAATTTTACTCATACTTAAGTACAATTTAGACCATGTAATCTACTTCGCTACTTTTAAAATCAGAAGTCGCTACTGAGTACGACCGCAATTTGCAAACTGTTCATCTGCACCTTTGTAACCAATAATGCTCTCAGATCACGAACACACCAATTACCTATGATGTAAGCAAAGGACAACTTCGTAGAGTACAGAGTCAAAAAAACATCAACTGGTTAAAAAGTAATTAATACTCTGAGTAGTTTTTGAGAATACTACATTGTACTTTTACTTAAGTGTTTTAATAACACCAGTACTTTGCTTGTAACTGAGTACAATATAAGCAGCGTAACAGTACTTGTACTTTAGTACAATTTTTCAGTACTCTTTGCACCATACAAACATCCTCAGCTCAAAAACTGTTTTAAACTCTGAGCGTTGTTCTCTTTATTTTTCAAGCATAATGGGTAAGTTCCCAAGCACTGGACTTTCTAATAAAACGTTGAAACGGTGATGTTCCCTTACATACAGCTGCTTGAGCGTCGAGGACTTCTGGGATCGTGGATGTTTGAGCGTGTGCATACGATCCCCCACACACACGTTCTGCAGAAAACAAGCCACCAGCAACCACATCTTTAATTTTTCCACTTGTGTCGTTTCCCCTTCCTACGTGTTGGACTCGCGTTGCCGTGGAAACGCACAGTTTAACCACCATTATTACAGCGCTGTGGTCTCTGCACAGCTGCTTGTAATAAAACGTGATCCTGGAGGGTGACACCATGTTAGAGCTGGGTCAAACACAAACACTAAACCCGGCTGGATTTTTACTAATAAACATGATTCCTTTTATCTGTTTTCCTGCTGAAAAAAATATTTATGACAATAATCTGTTCACTGTTAAAGCTTCAAAAAGTTAATGAGCATAACACAACAGCCTTCATGAGTAATTAAAATGCTGTGCTTGTGCTTTTAATTGTTTTTATTACTGCCTAAAGAAAAGGTAAGGCAGATGATGGTATTTTTGCTCATCTTTTATCAAAATATCATCAAGCACTGGACAGATTTTAATTAAACTTTCAGAAATTATTAATTAGATGTATATCTAAAACGCATGAATATTTGGAGTTGAACCAAATCATGATGGCCGCTACAACTAATCAACAATCGTAAACATAAAATGGCTAAAATTCAGTTTATTTTGCAGACATAGAGCTAAAACATTATGTGGTAGTAGCTAAGAATCATTTCCAAAGTATACTTTGAGGGTAACGTGGCAATGGATTGTACATAATGTTATTTTAATGGTTTGATCAAAACAGCTAAATGACTAGGTCTGTCACGATAACAAATTTTGCTGGGTAATTAATTGTCTCAGAAATTATTACGATAAACAATAATATTGTTTGAAATTTGACAATAATTAGTAATTATTGTCAAATTTAAGAAGAAACGTTGGTTAATTTGTTTTGCATGTAGTACCTTTTTTCGACCACATGATGGCAGTATAAGACTGTTTGAACTGAAGGATGGATAGTGAGGGAGCAAGCAGCATGTCTCTTTAAGAAAAATGGGAGGGAGGCCCCTTGACATGACATGGGCTGTCTTTCTTCGGTTCTCAAAATGGCGGATGCTCGGTGTGGTTTGACCTCTTTAGCATAGCATTTTTCACACAAAGCTTTTAATAAAAAAATTAAAAAATAAGTTCTCAGCTTCTTTTTGCAGAGAAAAACAACTTTTTAGACAAAGGCACAGGCTTCAACTTGTCTTCGACAAGACAGAGTTTTTTTCCTCGAGGTTGGCCTGTTAGCTTAGCTTCTCAGCTTAGCTGCTTTTAACGATCCAAAAACACGATTTTGAGCGGTTAAAACACATTTTAAAGAGAAAAGAGAAAGAAGAGCACTGGAGTTGAGCCTTTTGTCATCCAGTGTCTTCAGTAGAAAGAGAGAGACACGAAGAAACGATAAAGCCGATAAATGAAAATGAGGTTGATAATTTTCATTTATCATGTGATTAATTGAATTATTGTTTATCGCAACAGGCCTATATATGAGCGTTCAGACTGCAGTCACTTTCAAAACATCAGATATCTGATTTAAAATCACGTATTTAAAAGGTCAGGGTCGGATTTGAAAAAACTGGACTTCTGTCGTTCCGACTGTCATAAAATAAATCCAAGGAAAATTTAATCTGGGTAACTTTTGCCTGCTGTGTGAACATAATTTTTGTTTAAAACTGGCATGAAATGTGGCGTGCAATATGCATTCTTTCAAAGAATGCTAGGAATGCTCAATTTTCACAAATTCAATTTACAAATGTGTCACCCTCTTTGACAAACTTTGCTTTTATTCTAAAATGTTATTAAAAGACTGCAACATTTTAAAAATGTCATATCTAAAACTGTTCTGTTTAAAACCTTACTATTGATGCCCAGTCTTTTTTAGCATTTTTAATACACTCTTAGCTCACACGTTGATTTATTCAACCATCATGGGACAGCTATTACATAAGAAGAAAAAAGCCATTCTCTTTCTGCCAAGGAGGAACGAGTTATGTAATGAAACATAAAATACACAAAGTAAATCACACAGTAAGTAGACGTTGGAACAGAAAAACAGCGTTTTCATCTTTGAATCTAAAGCTTTTTCCATTTCAAGGTGAAACTGAAGGGGAAAGTGTTTTCCAGTGACACAGATGGGAATCAAACAAGAAGAGGAAGAGGAAGGGAGAAACTCTGATGAAGGTAAACAAGAGGAAATACACTTTTGAGTTTCCAAGCAGACCGAGCCAAAAGGTGGAAAGCAACGCAAACCCGAGGACCTCTGCTTCTCCGCACAGACTCAGAGAAGAGGCAGACATATGGTGTCCAAATGAGAACTTAAATATAAGTGCTGTTTTACAGAAGCCTAAACTATTTAAACCATTTCTGGCATCTGTGGTGTGAGCTTTGTTTGAAAGAGAGTTCTGTAAACTCCTGACCCGAAACATAAATCATATGTATTTATGGAGGCTTAACAGAAATCAGGGATGAGCCTGGATCAGAGGAAAAAAATGGTACAGGGAGCTGTGATAGAGATGGAGACTGTTCAAAACTCCCACCCTTTGAGGAGACGTGAACACAGCACAAACTGAACCAGATTTTCCTGAAACAGAAAGTCGGCATCTTCGGTGTCAACCACAGGGAGGAGGTAAATGGTCACCGTGGCCGAGGGGGAAACACAGTGAGTCAGCGGTTTCCATGGTAACCGTGAGGATGGATTTCCCCAGGTGAGCTATTGTCTTAGCACAGTTCACGCACAGTTTTAAACATATTCCTTACATAATTTATAAAAATTTGTCAGTATCAAAGGGATAATTTGTAATTGTGGCACAAATTCTGCAGTCCACTCAGTCTGATGACAAAGTTTTTGAAGAGCAGAAATGTCAAAATGAGCAGCAACAAGTCCAGACACTGTAGTTTGGACATGAGCTCCTGCTGAAGTTTAATTTTCTGATTATTTAGAAAGTTCAGTAATGTAAAAAATGTACACAAACTCACTTTTTCCTCTCTTTTTTGGTCTCTTTATATTTCATTAGTGAGTAAAGAAAACATTTTCTGCATTTGAGCCATCATATAAGTACACCTTTTGAACAAAAAAAAAAAAACATTTGTATAAAAGAATGTGCAATTTTTGGGGATTTATTTGAAAATACTTGTTTGTGGACTTAGCAAAGTTTTGAATTTGTTTTAACAATGTTTAAAATTTCTGTCTTACAAAGTGCTTAAAATATTACCATCAATTAAATAGTTGGGAAAACTAAAACGTCATATCTTTTATTTCAAGCTTTTACTTTAATACTTAGCACAAATGATTTCTAAACATTTCAACTCCACAACATCCTAAAGTGTTCACTTTTTAAGCTGTAAATAATTTTATTAAAAACACATCCATCCACACAATAACCCATATATATAAATCTGGAAAAAAAATTACCACAAAATAAGCAAAAAGCTCATTGCGATGACAAGACTCTTTAAAAAAACAGCACATAAATCACCCAAAACAGCATCAAATTACAAATAACAGATCTGCTTATAAAACATCCAAGCTCTCACAATGTGAAGCGGTAAAAACTCTAGATTTGCTACCATATACAGCGTGAAATGTTTGAAACGATAGATCTTGAAATATTTGAGCATAGGCGAGCAACATGATGAAAACACTCTTCAAGTGATATTACAAATAAGTTTGGAGCATCAAAACAAAAAGTTTGAAAGAGGAAGATCAAACTTGTACAAAAGTGAATTGTTTATATTCAAAGTGGAGACACGACACACAAAGGCTCACATCTTTCTGTTTGCTGACAGAATGCAGTCTTGTGACCTCAGAGCTGCTTTTAAAAGTTAGGACTGGATTTACCCAAAATGTCCCCATACAGCCTTCAAACATCATTGGTCCCCAGAATACACATATACAAGAGCGTACGCACACCCCGCCCCTCCCCCCTCACACACACACACATACACAGATTCTGGTCCAGTGTAGCAGAGATTTCCGGGACTTTCCTGTCTCCTAAAATAAGAGTCTGTCATCATTGAGCACCAGCAGCGAGGAAGGCCAGACTGAAGAGTCCTGAGTTGAAGACCGATGACGTCATCAAGGTGGTCATGTGACCCTAGAGAGCTGAGACACAGCAGAACCCCCAAACCAAGGTGCTATACATTAAAACTGAATACCAAGAATCTAACAGGTTTAAAAAAAATCATATGTTACATAAGAACTCCGAGACAAAGAAAATATGTCTAAATTAATACATTTATTTATTCCATTACTTTTGTTTTTCTTTTTGTTTTCTAAATGCAAACTTTCTGTAATCTATACTGTGATAAGTTGAGGATGCTGGTAAAGAGAGTGCAGCGACGTCATCTTATATAAATAAAATTTAATACTGATGAGAGAAACCCGAGATGTTTCTCAGATCTTAATGTTCATTCTCCATTTTAATTTTCATAATGAAACGTCTCCTGCTGCTTAAATTTCTGGTAAAATATAAAAGTAAATAAAGATCTGACGGAATCCCTAACCCTGTTATAGGGAACCACATCTTGATCTGTAGGGAAACTGGACCAGAAAAAAACTGAAAAACGAAGGTCTGGACTTGTGACAGGATTTTTGTTAAACTAAACTAACTTAGTTTTATCATTTAACATTCCCAAAAAAGAGGTTTAAAGGGGTTCCACTTTTGCTCAGACACTTCAGAAAGGCAAATCATTAGTTAATGCCTTCAGCTGGATGTTGGAGGAGGCTCAGGGGTTCGGAGCGTGGAGGTCAGTCTGCTGGTCTGAGTCATTCTAACACAAGCCTGAAACAAAACAAAAAAACAGTAGAAATAGTTTTAAAATGTTGTCCAAAGTCCTGTGGCCATAAAAGATGTAAAATGATAGTTCAGGTTTTTAAATGTGGGGTTTTGTTAAAATGCTGAACATTTAATATTAGGCCTGTCATGATAACAAATTTTGCTGGGCGATTAATTGTCTCAGAAATTATTGCGATAAACGATAATATTGTTTGAAATTTGACAATAATTAGTTTTGTCAAATTTAAGAAGAAATGTTGGTTAATTTTTGTGTGTAGTAACTTCTTTGACCACAGAATGGCAGTATAAAACTGTTTGAACTGAAGGATGGATAGTGAGGGAGCGAGCAGCGTGTCTCTTTAAGAAAATGGGAGGGAAGCTCCTTGACGTGACATGGGCTGTCTCTTGTTCTTGTTTTTCGGTTTTCAAAATGGCAGCCGCTCGGTGTGTCCCATTTGTCATACAAAGCTTTTAATTAAAAAAAATCAGTAAACAAGTTCTCAGCTTCTTTTTGCAGAGAAAAACAACTGTTTAGATGAAGGAACGGGTTTCAACTGTGAATTTTGGAGCTTTGACAAGCCCAAGGTTTTTTTCCCAGAGGTCGGCCTGTTAGTTTAGCTTGTAGCCTAGCTTCTCAGCTTAGCTGCTTTTAATGATCCAAAAACGCGATTTGGGACGGTTAAAATGTAATTAAAAGAGAAAGGGAGGGGTCAGTGAATATCACCACCTTTTGTTATCCAGTGTCCAGTAGAAAGAGAGAGACACAAAGAAGTGATAAAGTCGATAAATGAAAATGAGGTCGATAATTTTCATTTATCATGCGATTAATTGATTTATTGTTTATTGCAACAGGCCTATTTAATATCTTAAGTGTTGTATATCTTTAAACAACTTCAGTTTGGAGTCTAATTCTGACCAGATTGACAAGCTAACAGCAAGTCCTAGTAGGACCAAGCAAAGTGGACTGTTGTACTTTTAAAGCAGCTTTAATCTAAAAAAAAATACAGCAGTTCATGCAAACACAACTGTATAAGGGTTTACAACGCCATCAATTTTACATAATGTGTATTTACACAGGAATATATGATTATTTGCAAGTGCTGATAGCAGCTACAGTTGGCTGTAACACATCTAAAGCAGTCTGAGCTACATCTGGCTGGAGCATCATATTTCTGCTGGAATAACCAAGAAATGTAAAACTGATGACTATGTAAAGGTTTATAAACCAAGGTTTGCATGAACCACTGTGAAATATTTCAGATTGAGGTTAGTTTAAAACTACATGAATCCACTTTAGTCTTTGTTTAGCTGCTGTTACCTCATAAATCTAATAAGTTCATGAGTCTAACAAGAAATAAACTTGTTTTTCCAAACTGAGGTTGTTCAAAAGGTTATATGATTTCACTTTCCACAGAACTCTGCTTGAAATGATCTGAACTTTATTTAAATGTCTGGCTACAAAACAAAAATGCATTTTTGTTTACCAAACCTAAAAAATCCTCTACCGTACCATTAGCATTTTGTTGCCATTCTAAAGATAACACAGTCGTAGCACAAAAAGTAAGATTTGTTTACCGGCTATAACAAGCTGTTCCTGCCATTCATGTTCTGGCCTTTGGACCTCATCTGCTCCTGAACAGACCCAGACTGTGAAACAGCAACAAATATTTAATCATAAGCTAAAATACTGCAACACAAACATTTATAAACATCACATGCAACAACAAAATATCACATTGACACATAAACAAGAAAAAAGACAATAATTCAAAAGAAAATTTTAATGTACATAAAAATAACTATGTAAAATAAAATGTGTCTTCCTCAATAGCAACACAAAACAGCACTTGCCCAAGCAAAAATGTTGTAAATTTATAGTAGTTAGTTAAATTCAATACATTTCAGAGTCACTAAGAGTACATTTTAGTGTTACGTTATATTTACCGGTAAATGATATTTCTATAATCCAAATTCCAATAGAAAAACATAAAAAAATGGAAAAAAAATTAAAAACATAATAAATTACAGTAGATTTCTTTTAACTGAGTGTTTTAATTTTATAGACATTTTGTTTTTAATCTTTTATTACTAATGA